CGTCTCCACACTTCTTCTAAGTTCGAAGTTACCTCGGTGGGGCAGGGCCTGGCAGTGGCTGGCCGTGGCAGCCATGGATGGACAACAGCACATTGCATGCATTTTCATAACTAGCCTAGATTCCACTTTGACCATGCTCTCCAGTGCACAGATAGTAGATTATGAGGAAGAAAAAAAGCGGCGAAGATAAATGCCGATGGCAGCAATTCCGTAGGCAAACTGCAGATTCGTAGTAAACAATGAATGTTGGTTCACGGTGGTTGAAATAAGCCAGCCGTCCTTTCCCTTCTCCTATTTCACAACCGGCGATGGCAGCCTTGCATGTCTTTCCCAACACGAAGAACAGGAAAAATCGAAATCGCCTGATGCCGTCCGCCATCGAATTCGACTCGACTCGATGATGAAAAGTCGCGACGGAAATAGCGTTAAACTAGCATCAACAGCAAATAAATGAATGGGTTCCCTTGTCATAAAATTGATTCTTTTTTGGGGTTTAGAATAAACGAGGATATATAATATGAAAAAAAGGAGATAAATTGAAAATGATAGATAAATTGATAACCAAAATGAAAAATGGAGGAAACGAAAGGTACCGCGCGGAAATATACCTAGGTTGCGATATGAGATACATATTGCTTGTCCCTTGCTCTTCTTTATGAACCAAAAAATAAAACAAACCTATACACAAAACTCAAGAAAGGTACGTCGCAACTATCCACTCCACTGGGTCGTCTTGAATTTTCCCAGGCCGAAAATTGAGTTATGTTAACCCGTCCAAGTGTGCCAGACACACGCCATACGCCAGAAACTAAAGTTTAAATGAGTATATAAGGGGTTGAGAACAGGGCACAATTCAAGGAAATGGAGGAGAGCAAAAGAAGAAAACAGAAAACAGAACGGACTGTATATATCAACGAAAATATTAGGAAAGGCATAAGAAAACCCCCCAAAATAAAATAAGATGATAAAAATGAATTGAAACCAAAAAAGGTTAATAAAACAATAGAAGGCGGTGGCGGAGAGCAATTCGAAGCAAAGGGACGAGAGAGATAATCAGAACAAAGATAAAATGTAAGACCGAATGATATATGCATATATGAAGCCATAACCCTTCCTACACCAGCAAACATCTTTGCAACCAGTAATAACGAAAGGTAGAAAAGAGTCATAATAAAGGGGAAACAGGAGATCCTGCCTTGAGCAAGGAGAAAGGTGACTCAGCCGGTTTTAGTCCGAAGGAGTTGCTGTTTCTAATTCTTAGTCCATGAACCGGTCATACAAGTGCGACGACTACTCACTACGTCAGATTTTTGATTCGACTTGTGACCACCAGCAGCCGTTAGAGCTCGACCGTCCATCCCTGGTCGTTGATGCTTTGTGTCTGATGATTTCAGTCCCTTGCTGCTGGAGACATGGTGATGAGGCTCGCCGCTGCTCGACATTCTTGGTTCCTTGCTCTTCTCCAAGAGAGAACCACCAAGGGTCGCGCATTTTAAGATTGTTTGCATCATCTGGTTCTGTTTTAGAGGCTTAGCCAGGTACTCATCCATCTGGGCCTGAATGCATTTCTCCCTGTCACCAAGCATTGCGTGCGCGGTTAGGGCAATAATGGGGGTCCGGGATAATCCGTTACTTTTTTCATATTCTCGGATTTTGCCCGTTGCTTCGAATCCGCCCATAACAGGCATTTGGACGTCCATCAAAATGACATCATATCGGCGTTTCTTGACCGCTTCCACTGCTTGGAGGCCATTGCTGACAACAGTCACACCATGGTTGCATTTCTCTAGTATCTTGACAGCAACCCTCTGGTTCACATCATTGTCCTCAGCCAACAGAATGTCGAATGATCTTGTGTGATCGGTAGTTATCGGTGTGGAACGACCCTCGAGAGCAGGTAACATTCCGTTGCCTAAATCGATAGGCTGACAAGGTGTGGTCATGTATGAAGTGATACCCAGATCCAACGCTGACTTCAAACTAACGGAGACGACGGGACATAATAGGACGATAGGTATGTATTTAAACTCGTCATAAGTGCGGAGGCTTTGCGCCGTGTCGACGGAGTCGACGATTATAACGTCGTATGCATGTCCGGAATCCTTCCCCGTGGGATCTTGAATCTCTGGTGGTGGTACCTGTGATTCATCCTTGACGACAAGGGGCTCCAGATCAAGTTGCTTGAGCATTTCAGTAATTTCCTCTGCGTGACCGCCGGTCTGGCCTTTGTCGATAAACAGAACACGATGGTTTTTGTAGGGTAAGAGGGCTGCGTTAATCATACGGATAGACTGATCCGCCAGTTCCACAACGCAGGTGAAGTGGAAACTACTTCCGAGCCCATACTCAGACGTTACCCAAACATCACCGCCCATGAGGTTTACTAATCGCTTAGAGATGGAGAGTCCTAGTCCAGTTCCCCCAAACTTCCTGGTCGTCGAGCCGTCAGCTTGTTGGAAGGTGTCGAAAATCAGATCTAACTTGTCTTCCTCAATTCCGATTCCAGTATCCGAAACAGAGAATTCGAACGCGTATTCATTATCTTTGCATTCCTCTCGATCCGATTTGCTAATGGTAAGTTTGACCTCCCCATGTTCCGTGAATTTGATAGCGTTCCCAACCAAGTTGAGGATGATTTGCCGTAATCTGAAGGGATCACCAGTGACAAAGTCGGGAACCGAACTATCCACTTGGTATGCAAGGCTCAGGAATTTCTCGTTTGCCTTCACAGCTAACGTTTTAAGCGCATTGAATACGGTGCCTCTCATGCTAAATGGAATCTTTTCAATAACCATGCGGTTCGCTTCAATTTTCGAGATATCGAGTATGTCGTCAATTATCGTTAATAAGCTGTTGGCTAAGCTGTGCACCACATTCAACATCTCTCGTGGATATGGCTTAAGGTCGTCAGTATCTAGTGTAAGCTGCGTCATGCCTATGATGCCATTCATCGGGGTTCGGATTTCGTGACTCATGTTTGCGAGGAACTCAGACTTGGTACGGTTGGCAAGTTCGGCTGCTTCTCTAGCGGCTGTATTTCGCTGAATACTATCTCGAAGATTGGAAACCATCTTATTGATTTTCCGTTTAAGCTCGTCCATCTCACCAGAAGCATTCACGGTAATTAGTTTGGTGAAATCACCATCAGTGGCAGCATCAGTGATCTCTCCGAAAGCGCGCACTTGGGATGTCAAATTTTCAGCCATGGTGTTTACATCCTCAGTGATTTCTTTCCATCTGCCAGCAATTCCTTCAACATTAGCTTGTCCACCCATCTTTCCATCGACTCCCACATCGCGTGCCACCCGTTTAAGCTCGTGCGCAAAGTTGGCAAGGCGGTCCACCATGTTATTGATAGTCACTTTCAAAGTGAGTATTTCACCTTGAGCATGAACTTCGATCTTCTTCGCAAGTTCGCCCTTGGCAATAGCTTGAGTGACTTCAGATATCCCTCGTACCTGAGAAGTCAAATTTTGAGCCATGGTGTTGACGTTATCGGTCAAATCCTTCCATTTACCCTCCACATTATCAACCTTTGCCTGGCCGCCCAGCGTGCCATCTGTGCCGACTTCTCGCGCCACTTTACTGACCTCAAACGCGAAAGTGTTCAGTCTATCCACCATTCCGTTAATAGTGTTCTTCAAATCCAATATTTCCCCTTTCACATCTGCCGTGACTTTCTTCGTCAAATCGCCCTTGGCGACGGCAGTGGTAACATCAGCAATCTCGCGGACCTGGGTAGTAAGGTTCATGGCCATGCCGTTAACGTTTTCAGTGAGATCCTTCCATGTACCTTCCACATCATGGACAGTTGCCTGGCCACCGAGCACACCATCTGTTCCGACCTCCTTGGCGATTTTGGTGACCTCTTGCGCGAATTGCTTCAGTTGGTCAACCATGGAATTGATGATGGTTTTCAAAGCAAGAATTTCACCCTTGCAATTGGCTTGGACTTTTTGTGTAAGATCACCCTTGGCGACTGCTGTCGTTACCATTGCAATATCACGGACTTGGGTGGTGAGATTTTCAGCCATGGCGTTGACATTAACAGTAAGCTCATTCCACATTCCTTGGACTCCCGCAATCTGAGCTTGACCACCTAGCACACCTTCGGTGCCCACGTCTCTGGCCACTCGCGTAACTTCAGTAGCGAATGTACGAAGTTGATCCACCATGGTGTTGATCGTTTGCTGAAGTTCCAAAATTTCACCTTTAGCTCTGCTTTCGATCTTTTGGCTGAGATCGCCGTGGGCAACAGCTGTTGTGACAGTTGCGATTTCTCGGACTTGATCCGTAAGATTTTTGGCCATGATATTTACATTTTCCGTAAGCTCTTTCCAGATACCATGCACTCCTGTGATCTGAGCTTGTCCACCAAGGATACCTTCGGTTCCGACTTCCCGAGCCACTCTTGACACTTCACTTCCGAAAACCTGGAGCTGGTCCATCATGGTATTGATAGTGCGTTTAAAGGTCGTAATTTCCGGGTCCATTTCCAAGGGATGGATCTGAACTTTCATGGACAAGTCTCCATTTGCAACTTGCGTAATGATCCCACCAATTTCTCGCAAGGCCTTTTGGAAAGCCTCGTTAGCTTGCTGGTGTTTGCGTAGTTCCCGCTCGAGTATGCCGACATCCTCCTTTTTCACCTTTCCCAAGGCTCTCTCCGTATTTTCTTCCTGTTGTTTGAGTTCCTCACGAACGCTGGAGATCACGTCTTTTTGTAGTTGTATTTCTTGTGCTTGAAGCTGAACCCGGTTCTGTAGGAAATGTATATCATCTTCATAGTTCACATCGGATTCAGGGAGGTGTTTGGGAGACCCGTGGGAGTTAGTGTCTTGTCCACTGGAATAGTTCGCTACGCGGGTAGATCGTCGAGATGGAGGCTAAAACAAGGTTGGTCAGGACAATGAAATTTGGATGTTGTTTTTGGGCCCTAAGAAAAGTATGTAGGGTCACATTGGAGATCTAATCTCTGCGATTATGGTTTTATGCGAGAGAAGTCTTGGGAAAGGGTTCGCAAGGCAACTGACCACAAAAGATTGCATAGTACCGATCCTGCGGATCAGATCCTCCAACTCCCGTTCCAAAACTGCCTTTCCATCGCTGTCTTCACCAGGTAGTTTTAATTTCGCAACATCGCAGTTGGTACTGTTGTTGGACTTGTATCCGTTGAAGGGCAGCGATGCAGAGTCAGGGACATCCTTTGCCAGACCCTGCAGGATGCCCGCTAGGGCGAGAAGGGTTTCGTCACCCCGAGTCATTGCGCCTACAACGGTAGAAGGGGGGTAAAATATACAAGGAAATTGTCAGCTAATCCAAGTCGACTAATTCCTTTTTTCTGAGAAAAAAAGGGTGCCAGTCAGCGGCACTAAGATGAGACGTAATTATCGCCATCAAAACAGATGATTCAGTGATGGTGCACCGGCAGCATATGAATTTGTTTATTTATTTTTCCAAGAGTTGTTGGGGTTAACAAACCAGTGGTTGGAAAAACGACCAAAAGCGCTAAACCGACATGAGGAAGTTGGGAATTGGCAGACGGAGCGGACAATATCGCTTGAAAAGAATAAGAGAGAAGGGTCGTCTCGTTTACGGTCGACTCTATCGTAAGGAGACGAGATGCGATGGAGCAGAAGATGTTGGCGGAGGGAGGAAGAGCGTGGCGAGGCTCTGAGAAAGCGTTTTGGGGGGGGGGCGCCAAGTTCCGTTGTCAAGCAAAAGCGGAGAGGGATGTGCTGAGACCGAAAAGTGCCCAAGCGAGAACGGTCTAGGGGGGGCATGCACTAGGCCGGGCTAGTTGCCTCTGGGGCGTGGTGAGATCTTGACGAGTCAACTGCTTCGACGGCGTGTCTAAAGATGAGCCCAATAACAGCCGTGAAAATCGTTAATTGGCGGGTGATATGAAAACTACAGGCAAAGAGGAAAAACAAACCTTGACGGAAAGGTGAAGGTGACGGGGTTGTTGAAAGTTAAAGCTAACGCAAAACGAAGAAATAATACCATAATCGATTGCCTTGACGATCCATAGTATCTCCCATAACCTCCATTAGGATTATGCCGTGAAATATCTCCAACATTTCAAAGCCCAAACAACAAGAGATAACTAGGCCGTCTCCGGTGTTGATGGTTCTTATACCGGAGACCGCTGGCTGACAGCTCAACAAACCTGGACTGTATATTTACCGTACAGAACGGCTGACTTCTCAAAAAAAAAAAAAAAAAAAAAAAAACCAAAAAAACCAAAAAAACCAAAAAACAGTACGGTACTCATTACTGCGTACTTACAATTCTGGTGTTTGCTTCTCTTGACCTTGTGACCCGGCTATACAAATGGCTGGCTGACGAAAAAAAATCTCCCCTCCTGGTATTGGTAAGTAATACGGCGTTTTAACAAAACGCAATCAAAAATCAAAAAAATACCAACAACATCCGCAGTAGGCGCAATGAAGGACTTGTTCGGCCACTGGGGCAAAAGAGCTCAATCACCACCAGCGCCAGGCTAGTGGTAGAGGGGACCAACCAATCCAAACCCCGAACAGGACTGGCCTCCAAATTCCTACACATGATCATCCACTGGTAAGGCATGCGTAGCTATCACACCTGTGGCCTGATATGTACTGATTCAGAGTTCAGTCCTTGGAAGAAATAGCCGCCTGCTTCCCGTCTTGTTCAACCCCAACGACAAGGTTCCAGATCTCGATCCTCTGGCCAAAAACAAGAAGGCCGCACAACCCAGTAACCTGGAACAAGAAGTCTTTTATATTCTCTACCTATGTGCGCAGGAGGTAGGAAAACCCCCTCCCCCTCCCGCCCCCTCTAGAACCTCTCACGGGAAATCTGACTGGACTGAAGGATTTGTTGTCCAGAAAGGAGCGGTGTTCATTCAACCCAACAACCGCTTCCATGCCGTACGGATTGATTTTCTTCTCGCCTCCCCCTTCCCTCGCCCCTTTTATCCCCAATCCAACAACCTCCCCTTCTCATTTCCCCCTTAAAAAAGGATCTTGTTTTGGAGAGAAACTGCAGGTGCTGGGTTAGATTTGGAAAGGGGCCACTGGCTATATACGCCGTTTGCTCAAGCGATGTAGAATCCCAATAATTCCCACTCCATAACTGTCCATCAGGCGTGCAAGGGATAACCTAGCGAGGTTGAAAATCAGATGTGGTGCCGTGAGATTGGCTACCATCAGTTCCATCCATTGCTGGGAAGGGTACTCCCTGCGCTGCACGTAAATTATTTCTACGTCACGATATTTCCGTACATTTGGTTCTAACCATCATTCAGCCCTGTTGCCGATGTCTGGGGCAAAAAATGATAACTAATGATTGGTTTCATCCCCCCATGCTGTCATTTTTATCAAGTGTGCTGGCGACAACTTTCGAGCCTGATGGACCCGGGCATTATTGTTTAGCCACTTTGTCGAACTATTGATGTTTAAAACGGTTATGGTTTGCCATCTGCCACAACACAGGAGTTTGTTGAGGTTGTCGAAAGAAGAGAGAAATTCAAATGAAGCCCTGTCCCCTTCTTTAAGGGTTTTAAACCCTTCCAGAGCTTTCTAACCGGAAGTTTGGGAGCTGGATCAGGCAAAGTCGCACAGGCCACTGCGTTGCCTCGGTCTTCCTGTAAATTTCCGTAAATTTTCTTACTTTCCAAGGGAGTCAAGGCCCAAACCACGGCCACGGAAAAATTTGAGTTATTTTCGCGTTTGATCGCCCTTTAGCGTTCCGGAATTTCTGCCATCAACTGTAATCGGTGTGTGCACGGAGGTAAGCAAACTGGCGGTCTGTACGGAGTACGGAGTACAGCCCGCAACAACCCGCAACAGACAAAGCTACACACAGCCTGTAGGCTTCCGGGAATCTATTGTTTTCTCACCTTCGCCACGAAGAAAGATGTCCCGATTCCAAGGTTTCAAGGTCAACAAGCTCACCTCCACGTGATGATGATATGTCATTTCAACTCCCCTGTCCAAGGCAAGGGATTTGATTATTTGGATGATGCTGTTCAGAACAGCCCTAGAGCCATAGACCAATCGCCGTGGGACGCCAGCCACCCAGCCGGGGGAGCAGGTCAAGTTGCAAAATATATATATATATATTCTGTATATATATCCGTATATATAAAATAAAATAAAATAAAATAAAATAAAATACGTCGTCAACCAACCCAACGTTCACGGTATGGCGAGCCGTGGCATGACAACGATGTAAACGTCCTGTCAGAACAAGCGTTGTTCTTCCTGGGATTTCTTTCTTATTTTTCCTCTGTTCCGCTAACTAAAGATTATTATTCCGGTATTGGAAACAGCAGACTCGCAGCACATGCTAAATGCCAATGCTTCTCATAGGTAAAGACGCTGGTTTATATGCTTCATGAACACGGCATGGAATATTCGACAGCTTGAAATACCTTCTCCTAATACAATGAAATATTACCCTATTTTATAAAATACGTCGGCGGAGGATGCAAAATCGATATTTTCGAAAGGGAAGGGCAGGGAATACAGCTAATGTACTGTATGTTTGTACTGTGGTTATGTCCTCTCGCTAGCTGTCGTTGTTGGCGGCCGACTCTAACGTTATTGAACGTGACAATGGCCCGGACCGGCAACGAAAAGATTAGGATAATCTGAACGAGGGAGATTAGTTACACAAGATCTGACACACGGAAGTTACAAAGGAAGCTTTGTTTCATCCCTATACTTTTGATTTCTCATTGATAATCACTTGTTTCCCTAACTATAGCACAGAATGACTACTACTATGACTTAACCATCATCGTTGCTTACTAGGATAATGGGAAAGAAAAGGCTACCATATGAAAATAGGGAGGTGGGGGTTGGAGTGTGCACGCGGGGCTCCCTTGGCACTGGCTTCTTGCTTGTGTCAACGAGCACACTGCGATGGGGTATTAAGCTCGCTGGACCCTGGTGGATTTTTATTGTTCTCGTTGGCTATGGGGATATTGTTACTGGCTGACCATCAGAAGCAGCCGATGTTGTCATGCATCATGCATCCATGATGGATACTACTCTAGCAACAACGTGACTTATGATGTTGTGGGAGGATAACGTTGTTTCATTATTACTAAACTAACTACGCGAGAGCAATACAATATGTTGGGGGGCACGTGATAGGGTAGCCGAGAGAACAGCAGTTCCTTCCTTCCGTGTAGTGGGTCCTTTCTTCTTGGCGAATCCTTCGAGCTGTATATCCTTACAACCTCTTTCCTTATGAGGCCCTGTTCTCCTTCCTTCTGAGGTCTTGCTTATTGTTTTGTTTGTTTTTTTTTTTTTTTTCCCTTTTCTGTCTCTTTAAGAAGAAGGATTCCCTTACTTTTCTTTTTCTTTTGTTTTTAGGAAGAAGATAGCGGTAACTAGTATCAAAAAGCTAGCCATAAGATTGTTCAATTTTGCCCTTAATCCTTAACTATTCCATCCTAAGCTAATCCTTAAGACTTGCGAAGCCTGGAGGGCTTACGTAAAGATCCCTTACAGAGCCGTGAGGCTCGTTCTGTTTCTAGCCGTAGTACCCCCTAACACCCCCCCGTGCTACGGCGCCGCCAATGCACTGCCGCCCGGGGGCCCCCTTTGCTCAATTCTTCCAAAAACACAATAACAATTAATTACAAGATTTGGACCCTGATTTCCTCTTTGGGAATAGGTGCCCATACAGCAATAACTATAAAAAACAGAATAATACAAGCAAAATTCCGTAATCTCCCGTACCACTGATACCATTCTTTTCCTTCCAACAAGGTCGTTCCATATGACTTATCATCAAACCAGGCCAAGTTGTATTTGAAAATTCACCCTCCACGGGCATATCCATGTTCTTTGTGGTAGGGACTGCCCCATCTACCACCCATCCTTTCCCATAGATCACTCTTCGCACAATCATATTGATAGATATAGGGTGCCCATCGCCCCCCCAAACCACATCACGGTCGCTATCAGTATCAAGATCATCATCGCCTGTGGGATCATCATCACTTGTAGGATCGTCATCGCTTGTAGGATTGTTATCGCTTGTAGGATTGTTATCACTTGTAGGATTGTCCTCCATTGATCCATCCAAACATTCCATCTTGGAATCCATATCAATATCCACACTGCTGTAGCCGCTATCATCACTGGTATCGCTGATATCATCACCAACATCATCGTTGGCATCGTTGGCATTGCTGGCAGTGTTGGCATTGCTGGCAGGCCGCCCAGCAAAGATATCTTCTATAGCTGTCCACAGAGCATAGGCAGATAGTTCCTTGGGTGTAACAAGATAAGATCTTGCTTGCAGAGTGATTGCAAACCACATGTAGTTATACAGCCACATATTGCATTCTTTCCAAAACCGTTGCATATCAGCACTGGCATCCTCTTTGGGTCCAAGTTGTCTCTCATCTATGATATCAATTGTATGAGATTGCCTCGCTGCGAGGAGGATCTCTTCCCTCCACACTGAATAATTCACAAAACCAGTGAGGATAACTGGCTCCCTTATGAATCTCACTTGGTCACGGAATTCATTAAGAATCTTCACAATAGCAGACGTTCTGCCTTTTCTCTGCAGATAGTTTGCTAAATCTGCATTAATGTTCTCATCACTAGCAGAGGGTTCACCTCTACTTGCTTTCATCTGTTGGACTTCATGCTGGAGTCTCGCGATCTCCAATCTCATGCGAGTTTCCTCACTCACATCATCACGGCTACTAGAGCCACCCGCGTTATCCGACATCTCATTGTTGTCAATTGGGTCTTCGTATTCGATATTCGACTTGTTCGATTCTTCTTCGATTGTCTCGTCAGGTTCAAAAGCCCCTGGGGCAATCACCTTTCTGTTGGTTGCAGGTGTTGGTAGACCTGCGTCCAGTCCTTCTTGTTGTGCCTCCGGTGTTTGAGGACTTCTTCTACGCGTCGTCACGTAGTCCTTCGTTAAATCAGGCGTTCCACCCGATCTCAGATTAACCATTAGGTTCAAATCACTTAACAGCCGTCTAGGCACGCTTTTAACGATGCGTGGAGACGTAGTTAGCACGTTATTTCGCAGCTCTTTCGTAGCTTATAAGGGCCATAACCTGTGGGAGGATAACGTTGTTTCATTATTACTAAACTAACTACGCGAGAGCAATACAATATGTTGGGGGGCACGTGATAGGGTAGCCGTAGTACCCCCTAACAGATGTTCCAAGGTTGATTCAGGAGCTCAGTTTGCAAGGGGCCAAGGGGATCAGAACACAGGGATTCCAGGTGAATCAGTGATCATTGTTCGTTCCTGTGATAAAAGAGCGCAGGATTTAGAAAATGGGGAACAAGTAGTTGGATCTGATTGCCGTCAAGGATAAACAAAATCGGCTGGTATTATATCAATTCTCGTGGCACGTTGCACAGCACATACTAGTACTCAGCAAGGGTCTGAATCAACGGTTCTAGTTTTCCAGCCCAGTTCGCCATATAACTAGAGGGTACATACCGCAACAGAACAACCAACTCAACATACAAAATAATACAACAACTGCAAGAACAGTCTACATTCAAATCCAGGGATTCTGTTATCTCTCCAGGCGAGCCACAAAGATGGAAGTCCAATTTTAACTCTTATAGATTCTCAATTTGTGTCAGTGCAGCGGTTTTTGATGAATGTAAGGCTGATCACAGGAGATGGTGCAACAGAGCAGTATATTGCCAGCATGCCTCTTGCAGCCATCTAAACAACCCTCTTCCATCTCTCTACAAATCACCCAGGTCACCTGCTATTGACAGCAGCATTACTACATAAGCACAATTTTCCTCCTTCAGCTCCTCCAGATTGTTGCATTCTTTTCAACTATGCTATGCCACAGTCCAGTCATTGTAATCCATACCACCACACTTGCTGACCTTGTAGCATTCATGTTGAATGCCATGTGCCCGCCGTGCATGCAGGGACCTTTTCACGAGGTGCGTACGGAGGAGGCTGTGGTGGCTGTGATGATGGGGATGACTTCATCGTTCACATTGTAGACATAGATTCAGCCGAGCTGAGCTCACACCGCATTAGCAACGTGAATTAAGTTGTCATTTGCAATGTTGCTGTCAACACTGACACTGACTGCTTACTTTCAATTGAACACAATGCAGTAATTGCCGATCTTGACTTGACGTGCAGCAAACAGACCCAAAGAATTTGACTGAGATTTTTCCACTACTTGTTTGTAATCTCAGATTTTAGTTTTGAATCAAGTATCATCTCAAATCGTTCTTTGCCATACGCTTCATCACGCAGTGTTGCCATCATATCTGATCCTGGAGGGAAGTCAGACTCAAAGATAGGCTCGCCTGCGCCTCGCATATTGGCAAGCACAGACTGTCGGAAGTGCCATCGAAGCAGCTCATCTGAGACACGATTATTGGTGTTTGGATCACGACAAACAGGGTCCAATATTCTTCCATCAATTCACCAGCTGCCAGCGCCAAACTCAACAATCTTGTAACCATCCTTTGCTATGTTAGTATAACAAAACAAGTTTGGCCTTCAAAATACTTACATCTGGGTTTATGGAGAATTGATACTGGTCAAAGCGAGTGTGCAGATTCCCCATCATCAGCAATCCATTCTGAACAGAATGAATTTTGGACTGTCCCTCAGCATCATCGATGTTTGTTATCCAGCATCCATAGTTTAATGCAATCCAAAGACTCTCCTTTGCCACTGGGAACACATGTCATCCCACTGAGCCGAAGGGTTGACTTGTCCAGATATGACGCATTTCCCATCTCTGGCACGGACTTCATACCGAAATTGATCTTCTCGACCAGAGATAGAGTGGCTGGTGAGTCGAGCAAACCACGGTTCATCGGTTACTTGAAGAGGTCCTAGATGAATTAGCTCAGGCTTGGTGCTGTGCTTTCAGAATTCAGAATCCTGTACTCATACCTGTAGAGTAGATATCATAATTTCCAAGCACGACTGGGTTGCTTGAAGGTGTGATAGTTCGGCCTGAGGGCCTGTGCTGAATAGTCCAAGAGTGTTCACCGTCCGTGATCAAAAACACCTCACTCAAAATCCAGATGAGATTTTCTTCAGTGATAGAGCCATTCTGGTAAAATCCCCCAATACAGGTGGCTGTTGACGCGTCATAAAAACGGACGTTTCGGTATGCAGCTCGATCTCGCGGCATGTTGTATTTATCCTGTAGATATAGGATAGGACTTGAGATGCAGAATTGACTATTGAGAAGTGAGTTGGTAACAACAGCTGCAGCAGGGGAAGTTGATTCGACGAAGAGACGCTATGGCCAGAAGCGGTCTTGGCGACGCAAGTTAAAGTTTTATATTGACATGACTGGAAGTCTTAATTGTATATTTAATAGAAGAAATAGTAAACTCTAGTTTATTATGTCATTCTCTCTCTACTTAAATAGATAATTTGTCTCTCTTAAAAGTTACACTATGTTGGAGTTCCATTTAGGTCGCCTCGGTGTTCCCCTTGTTGATAAAAATTGCCAGAAGATAGTATCGATAGAGGTACTCTTCACCGACGGTTACGGCAAAAGCAACTACCAGCAAGAGCAGCTGCTGTCAATTTTTAAACAGGAAAAATGACGCAGGCGCTCTGAGCAAGCAAACAACCTGTATAAACACGCTTCTTTTCTTACTTTTCCTGAGACTTCAAAGGCAGACTCCTTGCTTTACCAGACGGCCTATACCGCGAGAATATTCCGTCGAAAATAGAACAGAGCCCATCTGAAACCTTCGTACCCTTAGCAAAGAGACGAACAAATAAAGACAATTATCTTGAATACTGGGTTGCCCATTGCCGGCGCTGTAAAATTTCAGCAGTCATAGTGGAAGAAGAAATGTGCACACACACATATAAGAAGATCACGGAGTTTGTCTTGATAATCTTGCACGGTAGAAAGATTAGTGCAGGCCAGAATTTAACTAGTGATATACCCATCTATCAAGTAGGGACAAGATCTTGTTGAGAATAATTGAGACTTGAGATGTGGAAATAAATACTTGAAATCATAGCAACACCAACAATATATAGAATACAGAGACTCAGTAAAATTGACTAGCATAATCGTAATACTCCCATCCCCATCAGAGTCAACCTTGAGGATGCTAGAGAGAGAATGAATGTAAAATCAGCATTTCATATTTGAGATGGTCAGCTCTGTTAACAGAGGGAGACTTGTGAAAATGAGTCAGGTCTCATAAGAAAGCTGCTCTTGCTTCAGAGAGCTTTCATCAGATAGAGTCATAGTGGGCACTAGTATGCGGAAAGCCCGGATGTTAACAGGTAATAACTGATTATTATATAACTATTCTGGCCACCACATCCAAGATTGCCAGTTTCAATATGGAATTAAAGCTTTTTTTTTTTTCATAGGTCAATATTGCATTATCTTATAGGAATGCTGCTTTGGTGTGGAAATTGTTCTCAGTCATTACTAGTTTAACAGTACCTTATACGTCAGTATTCGTCGATGATGTGGGAAAGGGGAGGGGAGTATGAGCAGCATGGAAACCAGAGTTGAACCGGTGCGTGCATTATGTTTGTGACTTTAGAATGCTTGGGCAATCGTCAATAGGAATTAAGACTATCAGTGGACTATAGAGCACTTAGTCATTACATTGTCATCAGCACGCGTGTGGTGAGATCGACACAGGGGTTCGTAATGGGGTAGAAGGCACTATTTGCTTGGTTGTGGAAGCTTCGACCTTGACTCAAAAATCTTCAATGCTTTCAGCCATAAGCAGCCTGTGGCAGTCTTGACATCCATTTCACCGCTTTGAATAGCTTGTCTCAAGTGGAAACATGCTCTTTTATCAGAAGCTGACATTTTTGGATAGTTAAACCAATGTATCGGAATTCAAGGACCTTACCGTTTAGGTAAACCAGAAATCGAGGAAATGGAAATGATGATCCAGAAGCGCCATTATCGAAGCTTGGTTGTGATCTCTTGAAAGACCAGGATGCAAAACGTCTACTGGAGATAGTGTAATACCAATGTCATTTCCCGATTTGCTGTGTTTGACGCTTATCCCAGCAACACACTCGACATTTGCGATGCCAACATGTTCAAATGATATATAGTACCTTCTTGAAGTCATGGAAAGAAGGAATGTAGCAGCACTTGACAACTGATCGTCGCATATAGCAAAGTGAACATCAGTGCAATGGGATTATCCTTACCATATATTCTGCATGCGAGATCACTGGCAATGCAAAGAATGTAGCCGGAGTGCCAAAGAAGCTCAGTGGCATAAATCTGTGGGAAAAGGAACGCGGTGTGAGAACCACCAATAGTTTTATATCGAGTTGGATCTATTTCTTTAAGCTGTGGAAGTCATCAATGGCGGGTCTGGGATAAAGGTCACTATCAGCCAACTCGTGAAAGGAGTATTCTCCGCGAGCATCTGAATGAAACGAGAACGAGAAACACAGCAATGACGTCATCGTCAATTCCGCCTCGAAACTTGTGCATCAGTACCGCTGACACGGGGCCTCATAACCTGTTAGGGCACCGGGACAAAAGAGTTCGATCACCAGCGCCATGTTGGTACCTAGGTAGTAGAGGGGACGAACCAAAACCCAATGCTGGAAGGTTGGATCACGTGCATTATCGGCAAATTTCCAAGGTTCTCATGCGGTCAGACTCGCCGACCGTATTATAATATCAACGCGGGACATCGAAAAAGAGTCATCATTAATATTTCCCTCTTTTCGTAACCCACCAAGGACTGTTTTCGGACGGGACTTAACGTTAAAACAGCCATTCCGTCGCAATCATGGCGACCGACCTCCCTGCGCAAGTATTAGACCTCCTCTCCTCCACCGATGACCCAATTCTCTCTACCAATAACTTCCCCACCGTGCCCACAATTGCTTTAAAAAGCGCTCTGGATCGACTTAGATCCAGAGACATGATCATATATGAAACGATTGAACAGGAGGAAGCAGTATTATTGCCAGAAGCTGAAGGAATAGCAGCAAATGGCAGCCATGAAGCCAAGGTGTTTGAAGCTGTGAGAGCAGCACTCAATGGTCTGAAAATAGCGGATCTACCAGATGTAGTTGGCAAGGAGGCCGCGAAAGTTGGGGCTGGAAATGCATTTAAGAAGGGATGGATTAAGAAAGATAAGGATCTTTTGAGGTCGGCCACAGATTCAATCGAAGACACCACTCGGGAGCAACTTGTGGTTATACAGAAGACAAAAACGTACCCCGATCCTAAAGTCTTAGCGGACTTGCGAAAGCGGAAACTTCTCACAATGCAGAAAGTTTTAAGTTTCAGAATATCAAAAGGGCCTAAATATGCGAGAGAGCTTGTCAAGGAGGAAACCGATCTTACAGTTGACATGCTTTCGAATGGATCATGGAAAACGGCAAAATTTAAGCCTTACAATTTCAATGCTAAGGGCGCGTTAACACCCAGCGGTGCTCTGCATCCACTGAACAAGGTGCGCCAGGAATTTAGACATATTTTCTTCGAGATGGGTTTCGAGGAGATGCCAACCAATCGTTATGTCGAGACCGGCTTCTGGAATTTTGACGCTCTCTATGTCCCTCAACAACACCCTGCCCGTGACCTTCAAGATACCTTTTATATCTCAGACCCCGCCAGGGCAGATAAGCCACGTGAAGATGATCTCTCTGACATTCACGTCGCAAATGCTGGAAGAGCAACGGGGGGATCTTCGAACACCGGCAAAACCAAGCCTCTCGACTATGAGCAATACTGGAACAACGTACGCGCTGTACATGAATCTGGTAAATTCGGGTCAATTGGCTACCGGTATCCATGGGATCCCGAAGAATCGCTCCGCCTCGTCCTTCGAACCCACACCACCTCTGTTTCCACTTATATGCTGCACAAACTAGCTGCAAACCCTCGACCGGCCAGGTATTTCAGTATTGACCGGGTGTTCCGAAACGAGGCAGTTGATGCTACACATCTTGCAGAGTTCCACCAGGTTGAGGGTGTGATCGCTGATTTTGGTCTCACGCTGGGTGGCTTGATTGGCTTCATGGAAGTCTTCTTTGCCAAGATGGGAATTCACGGGCTTAGATTCAAGCCGGCATATAACCCTTACACAGAGCCGAGTATGGAGATTTTTGGTTACCATGATGGCTTAGGAAAGTGGGTAGAGATCGGCAACAGCGGGATGTTTAGACCGGAAATGTTGGAGTCAATGGGTCTGCCACAAGATATGAGAGTGTATGGATGGGGATTGAGCTTGGAACGACCTACTATGATCAAGTAAGTTCGATAATGGCCCCTAATATTATTGCAACCCCCTCAAAGTCCCATCCGTAGAGAGAGTAAGATTGGTTAAGACTAACCCGGGACACTATTCGTTTATAGATATGGCGTAAGCAACATTCGTGAATTGCTTGGGCACAAAGTAGATCTCAACTTCATCGAAACGAATCCGGCAGTCCGGCTCGAAAAGGATTAGTATGCACTATAAACAGTAGGGTTTTGTGTTTTGGCGACACATTCGAAGAGGAGAAAGTTAGAGAAAAGGCAGGGGGAGAGAGGGGAAATTCTGAAAGTATGTGTTGCTTTCGCGGAAATTTTACGAATCAATAGAGGATACGAGCCCAGTTCTCCATGAGTGTTGATGGGTGAATTCGTGATTGCTCCCTATCCCATGGCGGAGGGATAACATGGAAACGAATAAAAATCATAAAATCAAATCCCGCATAATATTCTTCATATCATATTCCCTCCCGACAACTTCATTTTTTGAAAATATATTTGAACAAGAATGCATGGAGTAACTAAATACTTAGGTAGCAGGAAACCTACCTTATGTAGGAAATAGGATGGAGAGCATAACTTATGTTTACCGACTCGATTTTTACCAACAAACATCACGGTTTTTATGCTATCTTCAAGGGCAATAGGCGATGCGAAAATATGACATGTCCCGCCCGTATCTGTGCTCTGACCAGTGATCTTGCGTATCACAGCTCTTCAGCAGACGGGTATTTCGGAAAGAAATCAATGATCTCCCCCAGCTATGATTTAATTTTTTTTTTTTTTTTTTTTTTTTTTTTTTTGATTTTTTCATCGTAACCCGCCTCAGTCATTGACCGCGAAAATCGCCCGTTCCACTAGGGAGTTGTGGACTTTTGCGGTGGGCTTGAGGTGTGGTTTTGCTGCCAGGGTTTAGGGAGTTTAAAGGGGGAAAGGAAAGATAGAAAGAAAAGAAAACCTAGTGAGAAAGAAAGTGAGTTGGATAGATTCCTAGGAAAATGGGTCTCGGAAAAATGTGTGTATTGAAATTGATTTCTCGTAGGCGGACGATAAGGTTCGAGAATATTGAACTCCCCAATTTCCTCTATTTTGGACTTCATGGTTTAGAAAATGCATGATTTTGATTTCGTATATTTCTCCGTTAAAGTGCGCGGGTCATGAACTGAGCGAGTCACTTCACTGTTGACAAGAGGATTGGTAGGCATTTTTAAGAACGATAATAAGAAATAGAAGGCCTTTATTTGATTTAAGAGCCTCGAAAAAAAAAGAACTCCAGAATATTCCCAGGAATTTTCTTTATTTCGCTCATTTAATGGTTATCTATAGATAAAGGCATAACAATATCAGTAAAATCCCATTTCTCTCCCCCTCACCGAAGTCAAATGAAAATAGATTTCGGGAAGTACTCACCATCACAACATTCCCATCACAAGGGGTCCCTTAAACCAGCATAAGAAAAATGGAAAAGGAAAAAGAGCATAAAAGGAAAAGCCAAATTTCTCCTCCATTTTCCCTCAACGCTGGGAGCTCGCGCTCCATACATTTTTCAAGAACCCATCCCGTTGCGCCAGACGGTTCAAGCTGTCATCACTCTCGCCCCGGGCCCGTACGAATCCGCAGAGAGCATATACTTGATTCTCGCCGGTGTATCGGCCGTTCTCATCAACTTTGGCAATGCTAATTTGGACGGAGGCATGATCCTTAGCCTTGATGATGCGGTTTGTGGCGCTGCATTTGCGAGGCACGTAACTATATGGATTTGAATGAAACTTGAGGTTAGAAATGGGAAATTTTAAGTCCTCAATGCGAATTTTTGGGGAAATTGCTCCATATGCTGAGAGTAGATGATGTTTATCACGGGTCCCTTTTTGTCTTCGATTGAGAGAGGGGAAAGATTTTCTATCCTCCACGGAAGCGTGGAAATTCGGGAAAGTGTCATACGTACAGGTCGACAATTTTCCCCTGTTCGTTTTCCATTTTGGCGAATTTGTGTGAATTTCCGGGGAGGAAGGTATTGAAAGGGGCTTGCTTGGTTCTTGATCGTTGAAGTCTGCGATGATTTTCTTGGGTTGTGTGTTGAGATAAAGCCAAAGCGAGAGAATTGTGGGTCATGTGACATGACTCAAGTAGGTTTGATGTTTGGTCGTGAAATTAGCAGCAAAGGTGCGTGGTAATTTGTCGCGTCCAGCTATCAGGCAATGTCTAGGTCTAGCACCTTGACCACCTTTAGAAAGGATCTTTGGTTCATAGAGATTATACAGATAGAAAACGTGGCAGAAGGGCTTTAAACAAACTTTACATGTTGGTTCTATTACGGTCTACATACAAGGTTATCTTCAACTTCAAACTCATAGGGAGCTCTGTGTAGGTTTCTTTTCAAGGGCAACCTCATTTCTCCACCGAACCTCCACCTCCCTCGGTCCCTCTTTACAAAACCGGACTAGCACCACTCTATCTGGCTCCCCCTTCTTCGCTGAGCCTTGAAGTTCAGGCCCAACGTAATCCAATCTAAGTATGCTTCTCCCGTCAGTTGCGTGCCCGATTGTTGTTGGAGAGATAAATTTATCAGTCCAGGGGGGAGACCCTGAATGCACAAATTCAACCAATTCAGCGCGGCGCCTGGTAGACTCCTCTTTAGAAACCGCAGTCGCGCTTTCGCCGGGCCTCTCAAGGAATTGAGCGACGAAGGATAGTAGGAAAACCTGTGGGGGAAACATTATCACATCCCCATTCTTCGCGAGTCGTAACCACTCCGATGCGGGGAGAAATCTGGCCTCAGTAATCTCTAACCCGCCGTCCGATGTCGGCGCTTGGACGTCGCTCTCTTCGCTGCCGATGATGCTCTTGGACTCTGGAGACAGGCTGATAGCGTGAGCGTACATCTGTGTAGTATAACGTCTATGGTCCTTAGAGGGGAGGTAATCCAGTGTGTGAACGGAATAAGTGGGTCTATCTGGCACAATAAAGAGACAAAGATGTTGCCCTTGGTTAATCTAACTTTATCCGGCCAGGAAAAAGGGGTATTTGCATGTTTGGATTTCATAGTTCAATGTATCTGACCAATATCCAGTTCGGCCCCTTCATCTATGCCCGCCAGCCACTGGTTGAATGTAATTTTGTTCTTGTGGATTGCATGCCTCCCGATCTCCCTCTGGTCCGTATCTACGTAGATCATTTTGCCGGTTCTCCTATTTTTCGCGAGGAGGATACCACTCTCTTCGAAGAGTTCGCGAATCGCCGCTCTTCGGTAGTGGGGGCCTTCATCGTGGCTGTCCGAGTGACCTGCCGGTGGGAAATCGCCGTCTTGCGAGGATATATTTCCTCCAGGGAAAACATGAGCTGACGGGAAGGATGAAGACGTTTGCACGCGATGCAGCAATAGGACTTCGTTTCGAGACGAAATGAGGATGACACTAGCATGTAGGCAAGTTCATTAACTTCCGGTCTTCTTGCACACTGTAAAAGAAATCATGTAGATTTATTCCCATCAGGGAGGTCGGCATTTGCAAAGAACTGACCTTGCGCTCGGCTTTGGGATGGTGTGATCAGCATCGGTTTCTTTTGGAGGAGCCATCCTTCGATACTGGGGAACTCTCCGAACAATCGAGTAGTGGGCTTCCTGGCTGAATCGGCGTGTGACCTGAAGATACAAATAATTCGATACGCTTGTGCATTTATTGGCCGCAGGACAAGGAAATCTAGAGCCGTTGAGGGCTAATCGCAGAGCAATGTGCAGTTGATTAGTGATCCAAGGAAATTGACAACATAGGGAGGGAATAATCATAACTACAGGCGGAGAGGGGAGGAAATCCGCCGGACCGCCTGTCGTTGTTCCGATGGGACATTAAGCTCAATGTTGACCTGGTGTTTGCAGAGGGGAGAAGGTTGTTTTATTAGCCGCGTTTATCTCCCAAATATTTATCCGAGGTCCACAAGCATCTCGGCATTGGAAATTTGACCTGTGCCAGCTCAGATCCATTCTTCAGGAGCTTCCTGGCTAACCTCTGGGAAATTGTTTGCTGAGCGGAATGGCCTAGGAATGGATGAAACGAAAATGAGGCCACAGTCATCAAACCAACTATGTGAAGTTTATAAGAGGTCAAAGGCGGCCATATAGGCCGGTATGCCCGTTCATACGAGAGAGACTGATATATATGTAGCAAAGAGTTCTAAGAATTACTAACAACACTAACTAGCTATCTTGCTACCTGCTCAATATTCAACTGATTGCTAATAGCATAGAGATCTCTATTCAAGTAGATAGTCCTAGCTAGCTAGATGCCTATCTGCTTGATTCACTACATTCATCATTCACATTAGAATGGAGATTTCTATCGAGCTAGCTTACTACTTGCCCACCCACTGTATATTCTATCACCTACATAAGTTGCAGCACTTCATTCTATTTTTGCCTACAGTTTCCATAGGCCCCGTACCCTCTGCAATGAGGGTCTAGAGGCTTCATCACCGATTAAAATAACATGGAATCAACAGATCATTGGCCCCTAGAATTTGACAGCACATTTTCCACCTCCAGCAATATTCTATACTGTTTTAAAGATATCAAGAAGAATAGATTGTATTAAGAATAACATATACATTATGAGAATGGAAGAAGACTGTGATTCGATGATGGATAGTTGATTAGACGGAGCGAAGCGAAGTCTAAGAATCATACGAAGCTCCAGGGGATATCAATATCAATGTTCGCGAAGCTCCGGCTGAAGTTTCAATGATATTAACTATTGGTGTAAAGGAGGTTTTTGCAGCTCTGATTGGTCTACTCCGTAAATGTTGGATAATTCCCCCTTTTATTTCTGCGCTGGAGACTTGACATTAACAATTGGCTTAGATAGTCCCTATTCTTACCCCTGAATTATATGCCTCCCTACCTACCTGCCTCCTCAATATCCAATTAGTCTCTATGAGAATAGACACCACCATCTAGCTACCCACCTACCTACCTATCACTGCTAGGTTATCAACTGACTATCTGCCTGCCTACATGAGTACCTATCTACTGACCTGCTTGAATGAATGATATCCAGCGATAATATCCAGCGATGATGTCTGTAATGATATTTAATAGTTAGCAACATAATGAATAATAAAACTTCGCACTTTCGCTCCGCCCTGCCCAGCTGCATGTTTCATGAAGCTCCTGCTATAGAGTGTTGTGCCTGAGCTGTCCAACCCTCTGAAGCAATTAGAGATGCCTTCATACCCTGGGATTTAGATGTTCGTTTGCCCACCCCCCTTCTGGGGGTGATAAGGGCAGGCTGCCCCTAGTAGATATGTTTATATTGAGAATTTATTTATATTACATGCCGTGATGATGATTATTTCACAGGATTTAAATAAAAACACATTTAGTTCTAACTCATGATTGCTGATAATCACACAAAAGTAGGTCTTAAGATCCAGATCATTTATCACCCATTAATTAATCAGAAATTCTAAAAATGCCTTCCCAACCAGTAATCCATCATGCTCATTCCCGAGTCTAGCCACTCCATCCTCATAAATCTCTGAAGAAAATATGCCTGCATCATGTCTTGCATCCAGTATCTCTGCAACAATGTCCTTGGTGAATTCAGGGTGACCTTGCACGGATATAAAATGGCCAGGTATATACATGCCTTGTACATCACATATAGATGAGGAGCCAAGTAGAGTAACATTAGAGGGGCAGTAATGGACTACATCGCGATGCATTTGTTGAAGACACTGTTGCTGTTTGTCAATAAGAAAATTTATCTGGGTTGGAGGAAGTATCAGCAATTTGAGAAAGAGGGAAAAACAAAGGAGACACCTACCAATTTGTTCGTACCGAATAACTCTTTTCCTTTATCTGTAAGGTTCATATCGTGCACTGAAATCTCCCATCCTTGCTCATTGGGGCCAACTTTTGCCCCCAGCGCTCTCCCTAGGATTTGATGTCCAAAGCACACACCAATAATTCTGACTCGATCTTGTGTGAGGATCTTGGAGATAAAATCAACTAGTCTGTTTATCCAAGGTATATCATCGTACGAATTGTGTTCTGTTAAGTATTCAGTTTGTTTATTAGTACAAGAATAAAAAATGCAATGATAGTATTATTGATCAATCCTGGAATTAACTAGGATAAAGCAGAGGGCCAAGAAGGTATTTAAAAATGAATACATCACCTACTTGACCCAGTTATTAATACAGCATCAATGTTCTCCAAGCTTGGGTATTTATCACTCTCAACAACATCCCATTTTGAAATGTCAAGTTCAGTGACTGGATTTATTTTGTCAGACTGATTCAGCAGTTTGACACTGGCTTGGAGTAGGGACTCAAAGACACCGCCATAACTTCCATACCTGGACTTTGTTCTGTCCAGTGGTGTGTCGCATTCAAGCACAGCAATTCGAAGTGGGGTGGACATGAAAGCTGGTCCACTGAAAATAAAGCAGAGTGAAGGGGATATAAATAGAGTTGATTTTAATGTTATGAGTAGAATGTTTGTATGTAGTGATGAGTCAAATCAATATGCTCAGACAGGGAAGCAAGTAGTTAATAATACTCCGTACAGAGCGGTTGTATTAGCACGTAGGTGTGCGGTGCGCTAGTCCGTAATAGGTAGCCTAATGGACATTGAATTACAGACCACAAAATTACAACATACGCTATGACACAATATCATCTTCATTCTCGACACGATTTTCGTCGAGACAAGTTTCATTATGAATAAACGACATTGATACAAGTGTCTGCCGATTAACATAAAGGACATGAACGTAAAACCATGAAACTTATATAAAACTTTTCCAGGACAATCAAAGAACAATTGAGTATCGAACAGTAGGTAATTACCATATCCATCCAAACAAACTCCAAAAACAAAATTTGATCCCTTTTGCTCAAAATGGAGACTGGAAATCTGGAGTGAGATCTAGGCATCGAGCTTTGTTTTTCTAAGAATACAACTTCTTGTCGAAGCTGTGCAAGCCATGGACGCCACCCTCAGCCTGAGCACTGACGCTGCGCACCTCAAACCTAACGGTGCCAGCGGCGACACCATCGTGAAGCTCCTTCAGGCTTTTGACCCCGATATCCTGAAGGGAGTGCTGGATACCGGCCATGAGGTACGGCACGAACTTTGTCACAGATCCGCGATCCAAAACTGAGCCCGAAACACCCTGGGCTACGAGGAGTCTGTCCGATTCCGAGAAGTATCGTGCAGTACCAGCATTGTTTGCTTGGCCCCCTTTGCCACCTCCAGCCTTTTTATCCTCCATCGCGTCGATGCTTCCCATTCCCCGATAAGCCTTAACGAGCTGGCCTTCTCTGCTGACGAAGTAGGAGCCAGGGGATTCAGTAGTACCAGCCAAGAGCCCACCCATCATAACGGTGGTAGCGCCCATCGCTAGGCCTTTGACAATATGGGCCAATATTCTGAATACCGCCATCCGCAATACAGGGGACTCCGAAGCGTGCAGCAAATTGGGATACACTGCGCACAGCTGCAGCCTGGGGTCTCCCGACGGCCATAACTTCTTGTGTGATGCAAGCACTTCCGCTGCCCATACCAATACGGAGACCATCCGCACCTGCGGCAATAAGGGCAGCTGCTTGGTTCTCTGGTGATCAACATTGCCAGCTAGGGACGTCAAGCTGTGTGTAAGTTTCCTTTACATATTTGATCATCTCTATCTGATAGATGCTGTTGCCCTGGCTGCTATCCAAGATGACAATGTCGAGACCAGCCTCTATCAATTTCGGGAGCCTTTCTTTGTCCTCGGGACGGGTGCATATGGCGGCGGCGCAGATAAGTTGCTTGGAGTGCGGAAGCTTGGAAGCCAAGTAGGGTAGTGAAGGTTCTTCATGAGATCGGACCTTGAAAGGAGAGAATCGAGGTTACCCTCGCTGTCGACAATTAGAAGTTTTCCTTTTTTGGAGCTCCTTAGAACCTCATTTGCTTCGGCGAGTGTGGTCCCCGAGGGGGCCGTAAGGAGGTCAGTAGTCATGACAGCTGGGACAGGGTCTTCACCAGTAGGATGGAACTGGATGTCTCTGCTGGTGATCATTCCAATCAGTTTCGAAGGGAGAGTTCCATTTTCTGTATCAAGAAATGCCAGTTAGCGAAATTCAAGGTACAAATCAATTTACAATAAAATGTCGACTAAATATAATTCTCAGAAGAAAAATCCGGATTCTCCATAGCAGCTTTCGCGGCTGCAGATGAACGAAAGTTAAAATTAAAGAGTGAAATCATCATTGCAAGCCTAAAGTTTGGAACCACCACGGAAATACGAGATAGCTACTAACCTGTGACTGGGAATCCACCAAATCCCCATTTCTCCTTCAGAGCCTTGGCCTCTGCCACCGTTGTCGTCGGGGACAGAACAACAGGCTCTAATATGAACCCGTTTTCATACCGCTTGACCTTTCTTACCATATTTGCTTGGTCCTCTGCAGAGCAGTTGTGGTGGATCACACCAAGGCCACCAAGAAGAGCCATATGGATAGCCATCGAGTGTTCAGTGACCGTGTCCATCGGCGAAGAAAGCAGGGGGGCTTTCAAGGTGATCCGTCTTGTGACAGGAGTTTCGAGAGAAACGTCGGATGCGGGGAATCCTAATACAGAACCCGGTCAATTAGGCTTTCAAATGTGTATCCTTTTGAAGATTATTCCGAACCAATGTATCCTGGAAGGATCAGGAAATCATTATAGGTCAGTGCTCCCCGCTTCTCGGAATCTATCAGTTGATTGATATCCAGGCCATCACCAGCATAATCGTTTTTCAGGACTTCCAGCGCCTTTGTGTGGTCCAGGAACGCTGAGTTGCCCGAGAAACGCTCATAAGCGCTCCCCGATGCGTCTCCATTGGAAATTGGCATGGTTCAAAATGAGACAAGGAAGATGGAACGGAAGAAAAAATGGTCGTTTGCTGGATAGCAAAACAGCGAGACAACAAGAAACGGAATGGAAATACCAACAACAGTGGTTCAAGCAAACGTAAACGTCCTGTTGATGGGGAGAAATCGTCTTTCCCAAAGAAGAGAAAGAGAAGAAGAAAGGGGAAAGAAACAAAGACCTTGGAGAGGATTTTGATAAGTTTTTTTTATTACCTTGTGGGGCGCGTTCTCGCGCTAGCACCAACCAGGCGTAGCTGAGCTAAGCGGCTAATCGCCGTTATCATCAGGTGATTTTCAGCAGCCGCTTTGCCGTTTTGGGAACTTTGTTTTGGTCCCTATCAACAAATAACCGAGCGGGCAAGGCGGGATGCACAACAAGGGGAAGCTCTGCGTCTAGCGACTCTGCCCCTGCAACAGGACCTAAACAACTCAATGTATATCCCAAATACGGCCCAGTACGTTTCATCAGGATTCTCGCTTTTCGGTGAAGCAGTGCTGACAAGGGGTTGCATAGGCATTCTTCTGTTTACGTTGCCGTGTTGTCTGTGCATGCGTTAGTTGTTGCCGCTACTTGTCAATCCTTGGGGCGGCACAGCCGAACAGCCCTTTGACGGTAGATTTTGCTTTCTTTCATGAACGTTCCGGCATGCGCGTAGTTGGAGGTTGGATTTCTCTTGCATCAAGCGCACCCTTCTCCTCTTCGTCTGACCTGCCATCGTCATGTCGCATCTCCGCGCTTTCAGACGGTCTCAACCAGAACTCCCAACCAACCCACCAAGCCCGCTTCGTCATGGCTCAACGGCATCAACGGATTCCTCCGTTTATTCTTCCTATTCAAACTCCCTTGTGCCCAGCCGTACAAGTACTTTGTCGTCGAACTCGTCTGGCGGATTCTTGTCAGATTCGAACACTCAAAAGGGAATGGTGAGCAGAATCGGGGAACAATTTCAACGAGCATCCACCCCGCCAAGTGCTGGCGAGACCTATGGAAGCATTCGTCGCTCGCTGCGCTCACTTCCACAGGCACCTAATCGCGCTTCTCCTCCACCAGAACGGGTCAGTCGACAGCGCAGCCAGACAATGACGAACTCGATATTTCAACATGACAGTATACCGAATGGAAAACCTGCCAAGATCGAGACTTACGATGAAGGCGGAAGTTTGCGACTACAGGAAAACATTGGCAGGGCGGAGCAGGAATCTTCTCCTTACAGTCGACGACAACATATCCGTACCCAATCCACCCCTCATGTTCCAGCCTTACCAACGTCATTTACAGCACCAGAACTTGAAACTCTTCAGAAATCCTCCACTGGACATTTGCGGACTCTTTCAAGGTTTGCGCAAACTGAAAGCGAAGATTTTGCCATGGCGTCCGCTGTTCCTTCAGTTGCTGGTTTGCAGGGGCGTCGTCGACTTAAGCGTGCAGACTCAATTCGGGCCTCAAAATCTACAGCGGATTCTCAGAAGATCACAGCATCTGCGTGGACGGAAAGTAGCTGGATTGACAAACAACGGCAATTTATACAAGCTTACGAGTATCTATGTCATATTGGAGAAGCCAAGGAATGGATTGAAGATGTCATTCACAGGACTATCCCGCCCATTGTCCAACTTGAAGAGGCTCTTCGGGATGGGGTCATACTCGCCGAAGTGGTACAAGCCTTGTATCCTCACCGGACATTCCGCATATTCAGACATCCCAAATTGCAATACCGTCATTCTGATAATATTGCTCTCTTCTTCCAGCTCCTCAGGGAGATCGAACTCCCGGACTTATTTTGGTTTGAGATGATCGACTTGTACGAAAAGAAAAACCTTCCGAAAGTGATACATTGTATTCATGCTTTGTCTTGGCTACTATACAAGAAAGGGATCGTTGACTTCCGTATCGGGAACTTGGTTGGCCAGCTGGAGTTTGAACATCATGAATTGGAACAAGTGCAGAGAGGTCTTGATAAGTCAGGAGTTCCTATGCCTAGTTTCTCTGGCATGGGCGCAAGCTTCGGCGCGGAACCAGAACCAGCGCCAGAACCCGTCGAGTCGGAGGAGGATAGGGTTCGTAGAGAGCTCCATGAGAACGAAGCCATTATTTCGGACTTCCAATCTCAGATAAGGGGAGCGTTTGTGCGCCTGAGGCTTGGCAACGTCATGCAGGAGTTGTGGGATAATGAGAGTGCATTGATCGACCTACAATCAAGGATACGAGGAGAATGGTCCAGGGAAATAATGAACTACCGATTAAGCATGCGACGGTTTGCTGTGAATTTGCAATCATCGGCACGAGGATTCTTGGTTCGAATGAGATCTCAACATAGTGAAAAATACTGGAGAGAGAACGAGGCAGATATCCTGATGCTTCAAAGTGTTGTTCGTGCAAATAGGATTCGTTCGGACGTTCAATTACTGAGAACCAGAGCCAGAAAAGAGGAATCTGGCATTAAACGCATCCAAGCAGCAATCAGAGGAGCCTTGGCTAGAAGTCAAATAGATGACCAGTGTGAACAAACCAAAGATGCCGAAATGGAAGTTCTATCCCTCCAGGCCGCGGTTCGAGGCATGTTAGAACGACACCGAGTTTCTCGAGATAGATTATCCCTAGAAAAGGGAGCTCACCAGATAACAGTGCTCCAATCTGCGATTAGAGGTCTTTTTGAGAGAAAGCTTTACGATTCCCAGAAGCTTCGATTAGCGAAAATGAGTGATCAGTGGATCACTTTCCAGTCCATTGTCCGAGGCACTGCTGCCAGAGGAAGCTTTCAGGGTCTTCGAGCGGAACTGAAAGCCCAACTTCCATCGATTATCAAAGTTCAAAGCGCTCTACGTGGTACTTTTTTGCGCACCTCCGTGGCAGCCATTATAAATGCACTTCACGATAACGAGGAGAATATCCTTACCTTTGAATCTCTATCCAGGGGTTTCCTTTTGCGGAAACGTCGACTACAAGACCAAAATGCCCTCCTGTTGCAAAATTCTGTGATCACCAACCTACAATCTCTTTCGCGCGCTGCCATGCTAAGAATAGAAATCGGCGATTTGCTCTGCGAGCTCGAAACATCAAGGGACGAGGTCACTCAGCTCCAGGCCCTTGTTCGTGCGATGTTTGTTAGGCTTGATGTTGGCCAGGTTTTAGCCGAGCTGGAGGTAGAAGAACACATAATAGTTGACTTCCAGTCCAATATTAGAGGCCTTCTTGTGCGACAGCGCTTTGCTGAGAAACAGCGCTTTTATCGGGAAAATATGGAGAAAGTAATAAAGGTTCAAAGTTTTGTGAGAGCTAAGATCCAAGGAGAAGCTTACAAAAGCTTGACTAGCGGAAAGAATCCTCCGGTTGGAACCATCAAGGCTTTTGTGCATCTGCTTAACGACAGCGATTTCGATTTCGATGAAGAAATTGAATTTGAACGTCTGAGGAAAACAGTTGTGCAGCAGGTACGGCAGAATGAAATGGCGGACCAATATATTACGCAATTGGATATCAAAATTGCCCTTCTGGTGAAAAACAAGATTACGCTCGATGAAGTCGTGAAACACCAAAAACATTTCGGTGGCCATGTCGGAGCGCTACTCCCTAATTCTGACCTATCATCTAAAGATCCATTTGACCTGAAAGCTTTGAACAAGACATCGAGACGGAAACTCGAGCAATATCAGGAACTCTTCTTCGTTCTTCAGACGCAACCGCAATATCTTGCCAGGCTTTTCAGGCGCATACGAGAGCAGGCTACCTCAGAAAAAGAATGCGAGCGAATCAAGCATCTAGTCATGGGATTATTCGGTTACTCACAGAAGAGGCGCGAAGAGTACTACCTGATAAAACTTCTTGTGCGGTCCGCAAAAGAGGAGATCAATCACGCATTTTCACTTCAAGATTACACCAGGTGCAATGCTTTCTGGAACAAATTATTCGCCGCCTATACGAAGTCTCCGAAGGATCGGAAGTTCATGCGTGATATCCTAGGCGAACTTGTCAAGGAGCATATTATCGAAAACACTGAACTTGACTTGGAAAGCGACCCTATGCAGATCTATCGCTCCGCTATTAGTAATGAAGAGCTGCGTACTGGCAGGAAGAGCAGGCGCAGAATCGATGTTCCTAGAGAAGAGGCGATTAGGGATCCTGAAACGAGGGAAACATTTATTCGTCATTTGCAGGATCTTCGTGACATTGCAGACCAGTTTTTTACATCGCTAGAAGAATATCTGCCTCGAATGCCGTTTGGGGTGCGATTTGTTGCACAGCAGATTTACGAACATCTCTTGTCCAAATTTGAGAATGAGGATCATGGGTACGTTCTGCAGGTTACTGGGCAATGGGTTTGGAAAAATTACTTGTATCCAGCGGTTCTGGAACCAGAGAGATGTAGTGTAGTAGATCGTGGCTTAACTCAGGAGCAAAAACGGAATCTTGGTGAGATCAGCAAAGTGATAGCGCAGGTAGCGTCAGGTCGCCTTTTTGGTAACGAAAACGTATATCTTCAGCCGCTGAATAGTTGGGTTGGGGAAGCGATCCAGCGGTTAGGAACTATATGGGGTAAACGTGAGTACTCTCATTCCTCAAGTCGTAATTATTCCACTGACAATCAATGATAGTGATTACTGTGCAAGATGCGGAGTCGTATTTCGATATCGATGCCTTTAATGACCTATATGCCAAAGCCAAACCAACACTCTATATAAAACTGTCTGACATATTCTCGATCCATCAACTTGTTGCTGCAGAGATATCCAACATATGTGTCGACCCAGATGACCCTATCAGAGAAGCCATTCGCGATTTGGGCAGTGTGAAGAGCAACGAAAATGAGCTCATGAGTGTGAGCTCATCGGAAATTAGTCTGACATTAACGCCCAAACTGCACAATGTTGAAGGTAAGTTTTTGATTTTTTCACTACATTGAATTACTTGAGATTTTTGCTGACTGCACACGGTCCAGACCCCAGATGCTGAAATAAAGGCTCTTTTTATGGAAACCAAACGGTGTA